TTTCCAGGAGGATGAGCTTCAGTCTGAGGTCACTGTCCTTCCGAGTCCGGGCTTTAAGTTTACTATAGAGTACGCATTTTGGGGGTACATGAGATTCCCCCAAACATCGTATGCACTGAGAATGGCCATCAGAGTTGGGGATGGTGTCTCTGCATGTTATACATCTCTTGAAGCCTGGAGAACCAGGTATATTGGGAGTCACTAACTCTGAGGTAAAGACTTTTTTTTTTTTTAAATAGGAGATAAGTAATAACTAAAACTTATCTAAATAAGTAACAAAAAACTAATTAACTACTTGAACTGTATCTAAATAAAGGCTATGAAGAGTGAAACTAGTGGGACTGCTAAACTCTGTCTCTGGCAGTGGATGGTAGAGAAGGAACTGAGGAGTCCGGGCCGTGCACACGCTGTTCAAGCACTGACAGCGCGTAAGGCAGGCACCACGTGTGCATGGCCTGTATGGGAACTGCTGCGAAAATCTCTGATCAAAGGCACAGGGACGCACCTTGACCTGAAGTGGAGCACCCACAGGGACAACTCTCGAAGGAGAAGAGATAAGCTCAGCAAAGACACGGGCCAGGTCATCTCTTCCCCCTCATCCTCCCCTGCAACTGGAAGCAGCTCCCGTCCCTTCCCTCCCACACAGTGCCAAAAGGCAGCTGCTGTCCACATTCTGGTGTGAAGCCTGGCAGAAATCTGGGGAAGGGAGGGCATGTGACCCTGAATGTGCTTCCCCCCCCTTCCCCCAATGTATGGCCTTGGGAAGACACGGTTCCAGGTACCGTGAGAGGCGGGTCTGTCCCAAGGGCCCAGCCAAGCATGGAGGGCAGAGAGCACCGGGCAAGGATGGTTGGGTCAGTCAGTCACCCCTCCCTGTCTGGGGGGTAGGGAGAGGGTCATGTGTCACCCTTCCCTGTATGAACCGTAAAGCCTTAAAGATAAGAAGGTAAATAAAAAAAATCCAGCTACACAATATTTCTTTTTAATGGAGGCTCAGTCAGCTTGATATTAATTTGAACATTGTACAACAGACCGTTGTACAGCATAGTTCTGATTGATTGCCATTGAACTCGCTTGAATGAGTAATTTTATCAGATGCCCCGTATTCAGGGAAATATGGTCACCCTAAAGTTACCCCAATTTAAACTCCCTCCAGACTTTCTTCTCACTTCTGAGTCTGGTCCATTGTAGGTTTATTTTTAATTCTCACTCAATACTTTTTATCTTTGCATAAATGAGATTTGTTCCACTGAATAGTGGGCTCGGAAGTGGCAAAGAAAACACATGGCTAGTAGAAGAAGTCCTGTGCATATTGAGAGCCTGCTTATAGACAGCGATTCTGCTCTCACTGGGAGTTTTATTTTACCATAATGGGAGTAGGAGAATAATTGCACACCTGCATTTTTGGAAACTTTTCAGTGATTTCCCTCTGTACAGTAAACACTCTGAAAGTTCCCAGCGAGGCCTGGATTGCCTTTTTCTATTCCAGCTCGATCTCTCATATTGACCACCAGCACCCTGAAATGGATAGCTGAGGGCAGATTTGCAATTTAGTTGCCAGCATCAGAAAGATTCACTTTCATTTAGTTTAACCTCCCATCATGAGCTACAGGACAGAATTTTCTAAAGGACTCAGCATCCATAATCAGCCAGATTTCCTCCCCTTCCCACACAAGAGTTTGTCTCCCATTTAAGCACCAACAGGAATTGCCAGTTTTTCCAAAAGAGCTCAGCATGTTGGAAGTCATTTGGCCATAAGTGTCTCAATGGGAGCTGCTGGGTGCTGAGGTCTTTTGAAAATGTGGCCTCAACTGTGGGCATGGAGCACTGAAAAAATCCATCTTTGAGCTCTTTTGAAAAGCTAGTTGAGAGTGAAGATGATGTAAATAATAGGCTTGGAGTTTTATGTTTTTAAAAATATAGCAGAAGAGAGATAAGGGGGAGATTTTTGCCCCCATTTTAGTCTACAAAATATTTTAAAGGGAATCTGAAAAAAACTTATTCTTACAGTCACTATGAATTACATCATCCCTATTCAATTCCAAAATCCGAACAGAAAAAATATGAAAGATTTATGTAGTGGGAATTAGTATAGATGTGCTTGCTGCAACAGAGCAGCCCCTTATAATACAAGGCCACCCAAATAATGACATCAGAACTGCAGCCAGTCAATGTTTCTAAGCTTTTAACATCATTCAAAAACAGAATCAGTAGCAAAAGGGGAAGGGTGTACCATCCAGTAACGAAAGCAGTAAGTAGCATAATGTGAACAAACAGCAGAGAGACACCATGACATCCGAAAGGCAACTGTTTTCTTTGTACTACATCTGTAAATATTGAAAACTGGTGGTCTGTAGGAGCTGCTGCCATTTTGTCAGGCATAATTGATGCAGCATGTGACAGAGACAATACTAACTATGTATTATCTCATGAACACTTAGCTTTTGTTCTTCCTTGTTTTGTTATTTCCCTTAATCTAAAATAAAATTCTAATACAAAATTTAGACTGCAATAATATGGTTACCCGTGTGTATGAAAAAACCTCACAGTAACAATAGAACCATTTTCCCCATAGTTCATGAAATACACATGTAGGAAGCATCTGACTCCTTTTGTTTCTATGACTGAATTCTAAAGGCATTAGGATCAGATGCCTCTTTGCAGTTAAATAAGTAATAATAATAATTTTGTAGCCTTGACATACTTTCCAATTATCCCTGTTGGAAGCAGTGATATCAGGAATAAATTACCAAATATTCCACCGAGTTTGAAACAGAAGATATGAAATTTTCAGAATAGCAAACAAATGCCCATTTTTCACATAAGTAGACTTGAAAGCATGCCCACAAAGTCACTTAGACATGTCAGTTAAGAAATAAGTAGAGGGAGGCCCATCCATAATTAACTTCCTTTTTAGAATAATTTTGGACTTGACTCTGTGCCTGAATCAAATCTAAGCAGTATGATTTTGAAATCTGTGTGTCAGATTTTCAAGGACAATTTATGGGTCAACTAAAAACAGCTCCTGTGACTAAATAAGAAATATTATGAAAGTATGATTTTTAAAGAGATGGAATACTCCTCTATTTTCTGTTAGAAAATGGTTAATTGTGTCTTTGAGACATATTCAGAACACTACCATAATTCTGAAACATGGAACATACACACTTAAAGAGAATACAGACCACAGGGAAAAGGGGGAGAAATCTTTAAAGTTTGTGTGATGTCTTCCATGCTGCCAAGAGACAGAATGAGGGACTCTGTCACCCTCCCATTTCATAGCTGGTAATTGCTTTAGGACAGCAACACTGTAACTTTCAAGACAGTATCAAATTTTACTCCTAGAACTGTAGGGACATTTTCATGCCAACTGTACACAAAACTGAAAAAATTAAGCTCATCACTATTTTTGCTATAGGGCAATAAAAATTCACTTTCCACTTTAATTGCGTATTTTGTGCCATTATCACCATGAGCCATTCACTTCCTGAAACTATAATACAGGACGTACATCAAAGCAGAATTGGCAGTGGTGGGGAATTGAAGGTCAAATATGAAATACAGATTGGTTTCCATCTGAATGTTACCACCCTGGTGAGCTCAGCTCATTGTCACAACAAAAGTGAGAACTTAGCTGGGGAAAGGGAAACCAGGAGAACTATTTAGTAAAACTCACGTATGCCTTGCTGCTTAGAGTATTTGTAGTATGATACACATGCTCTCGGTTTGATTTTCATTTGTATATTTGTGTTATAAAAGATGGCCATAGATTCTATTACCCTTGGGCGCAATCCTTCCCTTTACAAATGTTTATATCAGGGAAATGACTACTTCTCTTACAAACTGCAGTTCTAAAATCCAAAGGACTGATGATGTGGGCTCATGGGTGCTAAATAGAATTTCATGCTTGTTATATTCCAATAGCACTTTACATCTATTTTTAATTAGTCATCTTATTATCCTTTCAATGCTGTACTGTATTAACCTTCTCCCTTTATAAGTGGTAACTATTATTTTTATTTACAGATTTGACCAAAACCTTTGCTTAGAGACTAGACTGGGATCTCTGCTGTCATTTTCACCTGCTGCTTTACTTTCACAGCACTGCAAAATGAGCAGTAATCAATGTTCACCTCTTAGCTCTGCTTGTATATTGTTTGGCAGAAATTCATCTAATTTTGCAAGCTTTTGCCTCTGGATTAAAATGCAAAAGTTTCCAAAGATCTGATCCTGCAAACACCTATGGGAAACTACCCACGAGTTAAGTGTTTTCAGGGCGAAAACCTATAAATGTAACTGAGATCTCTTTCTCCCTCCCTGGAAAAAAATCTGCACTTTTGCATTGCTCTGCTTACCAGTGTAATGCTATTTTTTAAAATTGATTTAATGAAGTCTTATTTATATGATTATCAATAGTTATAACAATGGAAAAAAATTCAGATATGTCTCTATTAATATTAAAAGGACACTGTCAGGTTGATTTAAACCCGTAGATTGGGTTATAAAAGAAGGCTTTAACCTAACACCAATAAGGAACATTTCCAAGATGTTTTTGTTCAAATTCTAGCAATAGGTTGTTTGTTTTCCCTAGGATGTAAATATTTCCTCCCTGCAGTTTTTGCAATCCAAAACACTGCAGCCTTCTCCTAGGCCATGAGAGCTAGAGAGTGAAATTGATGAGAAACAAAAGAGAAACTGACTTGTCTATTTTCATTGCCTAAACAAAATTTAATGAAAAAATATACCAACCAACAGTATTAATAGCAAAAGAGTAAATTAGGTTCAATATTTCTTTCAGCTTTAATTATCTATGGTGCTGTTAATAACACAAATTGCTTCTTAAAATGTATGTTTTTTTAACCTGACCGTGTCCCTTAAATATGCTCCATTTATGTCATAAACCCTGCAATTATGTGTGTATGTGAATATGTGAAATCTAGTCATAGGTGTGTACAAGCCCCTTCTAAGTGGCTAAAAGCCCCAGCAGTGATAATACTCACGTTGGCATTGCCCCCATGACTGACGGGCCCAGCCCCAGCAGCAATCAATTCTACTTCCAAACCGACACAATCCCATAGAGGAGACTATTTGTCTGGGCCACCTACACAAGATAGTTAAAAAAAACAAAAACAAAAACACCCTTATCTACAATTCATAAATCTTTTTTAAAGAACGTCCATGCTACTTTTTAAAATAAGTATCTTTCTGGTTAACATAAATATTTATAATATCTGCTTTAATATTAGTCTGTAGTATTTCTGTCCTAGTGTAGAACTCTGACAGTGTGTGTGTGTGGGCGGGGGGGGGGGGTGTTAACCAAAGAGACATTTTAAAACCAGAAATAGCAGCACCTAATATACTTTGTAGCATGCTCACTGCTGCCACTCACAGGATGGTCATAAGCAATATTAGATATCTGAATTTTACAATATTTATAAGTAATAAACTGTCATCAACAGTGTTTCAACTTGATTTCACAAATCTGAACTCATGGCTAAGTTTAAAACCTGTCCTAGAAATCAAAAATTAAGACAAGTTTCTGTCTTGCAAACAGGCAATAATGGGAAAAGGGGGAGTTTAATTTTTTTTTTTTTTGGTCTCATCCCTGTGAAATGAATAGGTTACATTTGGAGTCTTAAATATTCAGAAAGCAATGTCATAAAATTATTACATTTTAACAACAATGTAAAACAAAGCAAGAAAAAACTATTTGAACAAATAATAAAAATAAATATTTGGTATGTGCATGTTAATTGATTTCCATGTACAGTAAAGCAAAGTTAATGTTTTCATTTGAAAACCTATTCAGTCTTTCATTATACATGAACCACTCCCATATTTGTGTTTAAATATTTCACCAAATTTGACACAGTTTAACAATATTGATTACACACATTCCTGTACCTCAACACTTATTTTCACATTTCATTTATCTAGATTCATGTTTAAACTTGAGTTGCTATTTTTTTTCAGTATATTATTTAAATGCCTCTTGGCACTACTTAGGTTTGTATGTTATATGAAGCATTTTTAAAAATCTTGCGGTATATGTCCATAAGCACTTGTGTATAATTTTTAATAATAATCATAATAATTTATTTGATGATTTAATAATAATCATCAGGAACAATACTTAATTTATAGGCACATATATATACAAAATGTGTGTGTGTGTGTGTGTATACACACACTTTGTATAAATAAAATTTGTATAATTTAGATGCCATGAAAGACTGCCTACCAAGCCCCATACCTCTTCAAATTGCTTTATGCCAGGTGATACGCAAGAGGGTGCATTACTTCTCACTAGCCTCAGCTAGTTCACCTCTGTCAACAAAGTCCTGAGAAGCAAGAAACCAATTCAGTCTTCCCAGTTCATTCATTTCAAGACCACAGTAAGCTTTACAACAGCCAGGTGTGCTTTTTTTTTTTTGGCTTGGGGAGTGGGGAAGAAGAGTGGAGAAGAGAGAATGTAGAGAGGATTCCACTGGAGGCTAAAACCTCAAGGCTTCACTTGTTTTTGACCCTAGCTTGAACTCCAATCTCCAGAAGTGAGAATGCTTTGCATCAGTCAGACTTTCTACATACATTTTTAATGATCCTCTAAAGCAGGGGTCGGCAACCTTTCAGAAGTGGTGTGCCGAGTCTTCATTTATTCACTTTAATTTAAGATTTTGTGTGCCAGTAATACATTTTAATGTTTTTAGAAGGTCTCTTTCTATAAGTCTATACTATATAACTAAACTATTGTTGTATGTAAAGTAAATAAGGTTTTTAAAACACTTAAGAAGCTTCATTTAAAATTAAATTAAAATGCAGAGCCCCCCAGAGCGGTGGCCAGGACCTGGGCAGTGTGAGGTGCCACTGAAAATCAGCTCGCGTGCCATAGGTTCCCTGCTTTAAAGGATCAAATCATCCAGGACTTGTTGTGATGAATTATACATAGATAATACACAGGTTGGAATTTTCAGCTGTACTGATGTAGCCTGTAGGAGTATCAGCTGCATAATAAAGTTAAAAGAACTCTGGAGTTGTTCAAACCTGTCATAGCATGCATATCTCACATCTCTTTACAGCTGAGATATGTTCATGTAAGACACTATATTATGTGTAGCTTTTCAGAATTATTTTAACACACTAATATATATGAGTGCGAAAGGGAGATATGCACAGGGGGGGAGAGACTCATGAAGGTTAAATCTGGGGTGGCCACAAATTTTTTTTAGTGGTGGAAAGAAAAACAAATAAGATGCTAAGTCTCATCCCTCCACCGCACATGTAAAAACGGTTTATTCAGTTCTTCACTTTTGTCTATCATAGATGTCTCTTTAGAAAAAATAAAATCCTGCCATTAGGTAAGTCGAAGTTTCAAAAGAGGACAATCAATTGCGGCTGCTCAGTCATTCCCTAAACTGAAGATACAAACAATGAGACCAACTTGTTTATGACCTGACAATCAGCGTTGAGTTTTCCTTGGTTCCTTTTCTTAGCTTCCCACCACGAGGGGAAAAAACAGGTTTAGATCGCTACACTGAAAACTTCGGACTATATTTAGATGCCAAGTCTTCAGGACTGGCTCTGCCAGAAAGGGTCGGAGAGAGCTGAATGGCTGGTGTCTCTCGAGCTTCACAGGTGCCTCTATCAACTCCACGGCACAACTCAAATCCCCTCGGCTCAAGTGCCTGCAAGCTGTCAGCCCTGTACCTTTCTCTCTCCCCCACGAGCCCCTTCCGTGCCTGAGAGCTCTGCGGGGTGGGGTGGGGGTGGGTTTGCAGGTGCTTTTCGTTACATTTTGCTCTAAGCAAAACCCCCAGGGAAAGCGACTACACTTATATGTTCTGCTGCCTCTCCCCACAGACCTGCCTCCCCCGGGAGCCACTGGCCAGGGCAGTGCTGGCGAGGGGCTCTCTCCCCCCGCCTTACCTTCTGTCAAACTCCGCCGCAGCCTCCAGGTGAAGCCAGGCCACCGCGAGTAACCTCAGGAAGAACAAATCCATGTTTGGAGGGAGCAAAAAAAAAAAAAAAAAGTCCAGGGGCCCCGGCGGCGGCGGCGTGAGGAGGGATGGAGGGCACCGCAGCTGCTCGCCGCTCCGCTCCCAGGCACTCGCAGCGCCGCCCCCCGCCCCGCCGCGCCGCGCCGAAAGCTGAACTGCGGGGGCCTCCGGCGGCTGCTAATCCTGGCTGCTGTGGGAGCCGCCCGGCCGCGGCAGCCGCGAGCCCCTCGCGCTCCCTCCCAGCGCGCGGGGGGTGCAGCGGGGGCGAGGCGGCGCCGCCCGCCGCCAGCAGGGGCGCCGGGGAAGCGAAGGGAGCGGAGCGGCGTCGAGCAAACTCCCCGAGCTCCAGCGAGCCCCTGCGCTCGGGCAACCAGAAAGCGGCGCGCTCCCCGCCGGGGGGATAGCACTGCACGGCTCTCGCCGCCGCCCCTGCCTCGCACTCCGCATCTTCGGTGCACCTGGCAGCGAATAAAGCGACGCTGCCACGAAGTAGAGGCTTTGTACAAATACCTTCCTACCAAACCGCGCTACCCAGACCCCTGCGGCTGGAGGTTTCCGTTTAACTTCCCGCCAGGGGCTGCACTGGGCCCCCGGGCCAGCCCAGAAGCGGATGGGCTTAAAGCCACTGCCGCCCCTCCCCCCACTTTCCATGGGCTTTGCCCGTCTGTGCTTCACCTCCTGGAAGCGCCTCGCAGAATCTCATTCCGTGCAATTTAGGCAGGATGAAAGTATTTTAAAAATTGTAAGGGGGCTTGATGTTGCAAGGTGCGAAGCAGGTACTGAGCCCTCAGCACCTTACAGGATCAATACATTGCACCACAGCCCAAGCCTGGTTTATTTTACTAGGGGGAGAAGTTACACTGAGTTCCAGAGGGTTGCTCAGGTTTCTGCCCTGGTGGTGGGAAGTTCCATTGTGCCAGAGGGGCACAGTTTTCAACGACAAGCCTCAGCCCAGAATTTTAGTTGATACTGTCGCTATCCTGGGCTCAAGACACTGAGAGCCTTGAAGATAAAGAATGATCTTGAATTTTAACTCAATAGTCTAAGGGAAGCCAGTGCAGAGAGCAGAGGACAGGTTTTGTGTGCTCCCAGTAGCCAGAATTGCTGTACCAGCTGGAATTTTCTAAGGGCTTTGCATCCCAGGATAATGCATTGCTTTTATCCAGGCCAGAGAGATGGCAAAGGTGTGTACAACTGAGGTCACTAGTAATAGTTTTAAAAGTGCAAACTGTAATTTAAAAATATTAATTATCAAACACATTCCACAGTGCCAAGCACTGGTTATGGTACATTTCAGTCTTTCCGAATACTGAGCAAAAATATATTAATGAACAATTTCTTTTTAATGACTCAGACACCTGTTTATTTATGTTGATAGAAAGCACAAACTTGTAAGTACACAGACTGACGTTTGGCACAGTATAGTTATACAGATTACATAAGTATGTATTCTGTATACAGTTAAGTACAGTAGTTGACACTAATAATATAGTGCAGTGTTAAACAACTGATGTTATGAGTAATGCATGTAGTTATTAGAAGTTGGGTCAATTAAGAGACCTATGTAAACAATGGAGAACATGGGTCTTCTCAGATGGAATTTGTACCATTTTTCATTTGTGCATATGGGACTTGTTCCCATTGAAGTTAATGGCAAAACTCTCATTTACCTAGATATTACTATGATGGGTGCAGTAAAAGTACATGGATAAAATTATTTCTTAAATACAAGTTAATATGAGGTCACAAATATTGTTTTCTAAGAGATCCCTGTATGGACCTAGCCATTCACAGGGGAGAAGTAATTTATGGAAGATTTCCTGTAAATAGGCTGGGTGTGTTTATTGTAGTATTAACAAGGAAAAGCTGTAAAAATTCAAATGGTTGGACAGATACATAATTATATTAATTATCTGTGACAGAAGAAAATGGGGGTCAAATTTACCTCCACTGGTATTGGGAGCTGCAAATTACAGCACACAGCACCAGCCATAGACACTGCTCCAGGAGGAATTTACCCTTGGGATCCAGAGAAATCCTGGTGGTGGGATGTGCTGAATCAGCTGCTTCCAGTAACTTCTATCCAGCTTCCTTAAAGTGCTTTACAAACATTAATGAATTAAGCCTAATACCCAAGTAATTAAGGTACTACCCTTATTCTCCCCCTAGTTTATATAAAGAGAAACTGAGGCACAGTGAGATTAAGTGCCTTGCTCCCAAGATTACATAAGAAGTTTGCCACAGAGCTGGGAACACAACCTACATCTCATGCCTTCCAACTCCATCCTTCCTCCCCATATGCACTTGAACCCTATCCAGTTGACACGAAATGACCACAGATGCCAGAGTACCCCAAACACTGAATCACACTCAGACATATATGTAAAATGTATTTCATTTTCATTTCTAGGCAATGATGTGAATATTTTCTGAATTGTTCCTATTATAATACTTGTGACATACATGAATCCCTGTGAAGTTGAGCAGAGGCAAACAATCAAAGTACAAGTTGTCTGTATAACTGTCCTGCTATTTCCATGTGCCTTTTAGTTTCAGTTCTACAATTTTGCTTCAGAACTAAACTAATAGTTACTATATATAAAATTAATATATATAACTATTACCCCACCCACATGACTATCAGACATGATAGCACCAAATTAAAAGTTACCATCTCTCCTTATATATTTTCTCAGGTATAAGAAATAAACGTACAAAAAGTTGACAGTGCCACAATTATTTCATCCAAAACTACTTGCAATAGATTAACTTTTATATTTAATTAAAGTTTCTTTAAAGACTACTCTGTCATTAGAGGTAATTCTGCAGCAGTCTCCTGGATTCCATTACAATACTGAGAGTTTTCTCTCCCTATTTAAAAAAATCATAGCTTTCAATTAAGAAATGGGGCCTACAGAAAGACACACTGTCATTCCACAGCTACCTTATTGTGTGTCTCTCTTACAAATATTTCTAACTGGCTTCTTATTAACTTTGTCCCAAAGGTATTTTGTATGTGGGACCAAAATGAAAATCCCAAAAAGGGATTTGCAAGTCCTTTACATCAGGATCCATTAGATCTATCTGAGCTCTTCCTGGTTCCAATCATTGAAGTCTAGAAAAACATGATTATCCATTGATGCTATTTGAGAAAAAGGGATCCAAAGAACCCTCTGCATTGTGAACCTTTTTAACAAAGGACAGGCAAGCCCTCTGAATAATGAGGATAGACACCATTGAACACCGTGCTTCCCACAACCCATCACCAACATCTCTGTGTTCTCCAGACTGAGTTTCAGCCAGCTTGCTCTCATCCAAGTCCCTAGTTCAGCCAAGCATTGGGAAAGCAGAGACACCACAACATCTGGGTTCAATGAAATCAGTGTAGAGCAAAGTATCTTAAGGAGCAGGGTTTAGTCATGCTTCTGTAACAGGGCTTTCTACATAATCGTGGAGTCCTGTTGTTCCCATAATGTAATGAGTCTTGTATGGCTCTTATAAGCCTTCAGGCTATCGGATATTGAAATTCCTCATATGGATCTCAATGCCTCATTTTACACAGTGCATCTATATGAGATCTTTTTTTAATTTTAATTTTAAAAAAATTAAATTAAAAAATGCCAAGTTATGCATCATCTATGGAATGATGGCACTGTAGCCCAAATCATCTCACTATCACCCCCCGGTAGTCTCATATACGTGTTGTACAGAAGAGCTGACAGACTGGAACCCTGGTACAAGGGAGCCATCAAGGCTCATGAGCAATTATCCAACACTGCCCCCCCCTCCTGCAGTGATTTATCAGTAAAGTGAGAACATACCATACATACATACCAAATCCCTGAACATCAACACTGCACTCTCTTGCCTGGTAATTCATAATCCAGTAAGGGTCCATAGGTGAGTAAAGAAAACCCCCAAAACTTTATGTTCAACTATATGAAAAGCTACTTACAGAGCCTTAAAAAAAGACAAAAAACCATCCTGGATTCCCGATCACTATCGACTACCCATAACTAGTAGATTTTTTTTTTATAAGAAGCCCAACAGCAATAGCAGGTCTCTTTGTCATACCCAAGCTACCTGGCAGACTGTTAGGGATCAAGAAACCTCAGATGAAGCCAAACTTGCAGCACCACAACCCCTTCTCAGTAACCTTAACTAAAACAATAAGGGGATAATAACTGGTGAGATCTCCAACATGAAGACATGTTCTTGAGCATGGTTCTAATGGCAACTCATTTGAAGGGAGCTGGCAGGCTGCCCAAATGTTATCTTAGCCAACAATGGACCTAACACCAGCCCTCCCGCACTGTTTGAATTTAATAAGCCATTGGGGCATGAGTCCAGCTCACAAGTCAGAACTCCTTGAGCTTCTCAAGAATCTTAGAAAGCAGAACTGACCAAAACAGCCAGACAGACATTATATTTATTCCTGGACAAAAGCACCCAATGAATCCAACCTTATCATCCGTTAAATAGATATAAATTCCTTGCAGCAAGAAATACTTGGCTAATTGCAGGCATAGACAAATGTAAAATGATTTACAGAATCATGCTATATGATAGCATTAGCTATAGTATGGTCTTTTAAAATTAATTTTCTAATATGTTTATGCCTTGTTTAAATTGGTCATGGAAATGGCATTAGTATCTTTCTAGCAACAAACTTGGTTAAAACACCTAGAGAGACATCTACAGAATGTCATATTTTTGTGTGACCTAGGACTTAGTTCCAGTCTTTAGTCTGGTTCTTTTGGTGTATTTCATGGGCTGCTATGAGTTCTGGCAAAGAGATAATGCTGCACCTGAAGATATTTGTAAAACTTTGGAGCCCTATTTTCTACTCTGTTTCATTCACTTTAAAGTGATGTAACTCCATTGGCCCCAGTGGAGATACACGAGTGTAAAGTCAGTGCCACAAAAGTAAAAAATCAGGCCCCTGTTCTTGATAGTTTCCTCTATCTACCGATAGAGCTACCGAGTCAAGTGAGTTTAGGCTAGCATTCCAAAAAAGTTGGTCTTCTTATGTTAAATTGCCTGTTTCTATACAGCTTTGGTATTGTGTGGAAAACCCAGGTTAAACTCTGGGATGTCAAAGACGCTTAGCAGGCAAGAAAGAGCAATGTTGGTGTTCATTTTCCTATTTGTGAGTTTCGAGATATTTATGGGATTAATGACCCATTCCTTTGTTT